GTTCAGACTGTGCCAAACAAATTTGTGAAAGGACCCGAAAATATTGCCTATTTAAGACATACTCGATAAACTTGCGTTTCGCCCGCAAACAAAACCCCTTCGTAGCGTGAGGCGCTTTTTTGCACCTCTCCAGCTTAAGGCCCATAAGAGACTCGAGCCCTATTATTGACTACTGTTCCAGGCGGACCCTTGTCCTTGCCAGCTATTGATCGTGCTCAGACCTAATGCTCACCTCTTCCACGTCATGATCAACGCATCGCTAACCTGTTGCTTCACTTTCATATGCCACCATCATCCACGGTTTCAGTTAATCGTAGGACACGTAAGCAGACGGCAAGCCAAGTGAGTGTCCCCAACTGCCGCATTTCTCGCATCAGGTTATCTGTTTTTCGTACCTCTCTCTACATTTTCCGTTTCCTGAAATCTTCTCGCGTCCAATACGAAGTTAACAAACTGGTTTTGACATAGCTAATTTACACTATTCTCTTTTCTTGTATGTTACGTCTTTAGACTACTAACTATATGGTGTTTCATTTTTATTGCGCAAGTATAGATGTACAGCACCACCGGATATGTTGTGAATCGGCTACAGTTGTTAACTTTGTGTCTACGTACCACGTATGCATGAAATTGGCAGTGAACAACGACGGTAATGGATGAAACAGAAAATTCAATCCAGCTTACCATGGTCCACTTTTTCCACGAATTCATGGGAACTGTTTGTCGTTTGTACCTGCGAATTCGATGTTTCCGTCTCTTTCGCGAATGCATTCGTTCTGCGCGCGCAAACAAAAACAGAGCACGGAGACGAGTGAAATATTTAGATAGCAGATATTCATGAAATGAAACTAACGGTTCTTATGTAGTCGAGGATTTTGTGCGCATGTGTGATTCATACGCCTCTTTTTGGTTGTTTTTCAATCAGCGTTTTTAGTCAACTGTCCCATTAGAGCTATTATGTAATTCGCCGATTCGGTTATGACTCAGAATACTGGCTTTTTCGTCCTCTCGCTTTAGTGGGAAAACACCACCACG